GAGAATAAAAGTTACGCCTTCTTTCTTTGCGTGAACATTTGGGCGGCGTTATGCAAATCTTCCCACATAGTGACATAGGTATGTGGGGCGTGTTAGAACGAGCCGTTTTAGGTAGGCGTGGCTGACTCTTAACTTTTATAAAGAATATCTCTTTGGATTTGAGACTTTAGTCTTTGCAACTTTACAGATCTTCTTTATGCACCAAGAGCTTGTAACACTCCAAAGAGAAAGGAAAAATTGAAATCGCATCATATGACCCCTTTAATGAATACATGCTCATGTTCTGTTATCTTACATGTCATTTAAAGATTCAGATGTCAGACAGTGTTGTATATTATTAAACAGTATAATAAAATGAGCTTGCCTTTTTAGTATTTGTCTTGTGAATTAATAATCGATTCAACAGCATTATTGACAATTATACTTCATATTGACAAATATAAGTCATATGTTTATTACTAAATGATCAATAAATGTGCAGCATTACTGATTGCTGTCTGTATTGTTGAATAACAAAACCACTATAGTTTCCATTAATAGCAGAATTAATTGATTATCATTGATATTCTGGAAAACGGCTTGTTGAAAATGGCGATGTTTATAAATAGCAGTATTTTCATAACTTACGTGCTAATGCTAAATCCATCTTAAAAAAATAAACAAATCACGAAAAAATCGACCATTTTTAACCTAAAAACTATTTTTTACTAAAACATTAGTATCGAAAAACTGAAGCTAGCACTAGCACAATACATACACTAATCTATACATAAACAAATCTTTACACTTCCAAACTCTCTGTTTCTTACCTCTTCCTCATCCTGTCCTTCCGCCGCAGATCTCCGATGAGATTTACACAATCGTTAAGTGCTACTTCTGAACTTTATTTTAAGCTTTATTTCACGATCTAGCCGACTCTAGCCTTGAAACTTCTGGCTAAAAATTCAAACGCCGCACTAAAACGCCTCTAGTCTCTGATTGGCCAAGACCAAGCTAGGCAACTACATCCTGCTCGCTGATAGGCTGACGGACATGATAGGCACTATTCAAGCACACTGATTGGCTGACAATTCAAGCCAGCTGATTGACCAGTTTAACTGGCTGTGCTGATGAATGGAACGAGTCTTTACGTTTAGTTCGGAACCATTAATCAGCAGAACAGAATGTAATCAAATTGATTACTGATTTGTTATATTTTTTTAATGTAAATTTATCAAGGCAAATAGTCCCTTTTAAACTTATAGTTTTCTGTATTATGAAGGCACTTGTCACTAGCATGTGATGTTTCTTTTTGAGATTATTTTTTAATAAAAACTTTAATAGATAAAAATTTATTGTAAATAAATAAAATAAATAAGAAATTAAGAAAGACAGCATCAGGGAAACAGACTGACAGAAATATAGCAATCAGATCAGAGGTTTATTTAATGTTCTGTTATTGTGAGATTAATAATTGGTGATAGGCTACTGTTTGACAATGTTCATGCAAAATCAGCACCTCTTATTACATTCCAAACATTAGGAAAACAGTCCTGAAACTAAACAACTGATGCATAACAAATATCACAACAGTGTTTAATTAAAGTCATTAAAACGGTACCTAGCTCTTTTCAAATTTTTATTTTTACTAGATGATTAATCATCCTCATGATGAATTTTGATCTATGGTTCTGTCATCAACTATTAATCTTTGTCATGAAGTCAGACCTACAGTTAATCATACGGCATCAATATAATAATGATTACAATGAAATTAATCAACAAACAAGACCTCTTCTCCATGAGAGACTGGAGTATTAAAGCTCCAAAGGATTCATTCATTCTGAAGGATTTGTAAGTATTTATACATTAATTTATGGAGCTGAAAGAGATTCATTAATGCATTAATGGAGATGAAGACTGATTCATATGCTCATATAGCTGAGGATTCATTTATACATTTACTCATGGAGTTGAGGATTATCTCACGGAGGTGGCGATTCATTTGTTCACACAGCTGAGGATCTTTTTGTGTGTTCTTAGCCGCTGCGGGTCATAAGCTCCTCCAGGGCTTTCTCTTTATGGTTCTCATGCACCAGTAAAACTTCTTTAATGGTGCTCTGCTGGAAACCCATCTCACAGAACTGAGCCAGCAGAAACAGGAACTCTGAAGCCTGAGAGAAACACAGAAACATCAATACAGTTACAACAGATCAGGTTGGTGTATTTAATGTGCTAAATGTTGATTGGATGCGTGTTTTTAGTGCTAAATTCTAAATGGACAGTTTGTTTTGTGAGGGATGTTTAGTGCTAAATGCTGATTTGAGGGACATTTTGGGCACTGGATGCTGACTGGTTAAGTGTCTGGCTTGCTAAATGCTGATTTGAGGAATGTTTTGTCCATTAAATGCCAACTGGTTGCTGATTTGAGAGGTGTTTTGTGTACTGAATGCCGATTGGTTGAGTGTTTGGAGCGCTAAATGCTGATTGAGGAATGTTTCGTGTGCTGGATGTTGATTGGTTGAATGTTTTGAGTGCTAAATGCTGATTAGAGGGGCATTTTGTGCCCTTGATGCTGATTGGTAGGGTGTCTCACCTTGGTCTCACAGTTCTGGAACATCTCCAAAGCTTCTTCCACCTGAGTCTTCTCATAACCCAGCCGACACAGACGGTCACATGACATAAGGTAACTCAAAATCTGGAGAAGATCCAGAAAGAATGAGAGAGAGACTGTGTATATTTATATGTGTGTTTGCATGTAGTGTGTGTGTGTGTTACCTGATCCGGACTCTTGGGTCCTGTCCTCTGCAGTGCTACTATGGCAGTGTGCAGTGTGTATCCATGTTGTGTAACAGCTTCAAGAAGATCCCTTTCTTCCTGACTCAAAGCGCACAGAAGATCTGCTGAAGCATCCTGTAGTCCTGCGGACGTCCGCGGACGTACACCCTAAAACACAAGATCAGCTCATCAGTAATCCTAAATAAGACCTATAAATAAGATCTATGGATCTACAGTGTGTGTGTTACATTTGAAGTCTGTTTCTGAGCCCTGGCGGAGGGCAGCGGTCCTGCGGACGAAGGTCTCGGCTGTAGAAGGGTGTGTGAGTTCCGTCGCCCGCTGGTTCTCGTTACACCGGGTTTCCTGCGGGGGGCTCTGGAGCCGTGAGGGCTGCCCTGCGGTGTCTGGTTGAGGGCAGGGGGGACAGGCTTATGTATGTCTTTTACAGAGGAGGCGGAGCTTGGTCGGGCCTTGTGGAGAGTGCCGGAAGGGACGGGGCGAGGGGTGGAGCAACGCTGGGTGTGATGTGCAGAAATCCGTGGGCACGGTGGACCAGAACTCTTCGGTCTTTCTTTGCTACGAACAGCATCATCCTCAGACGAGCTCTCATTGTCTTCGCTGTAGCCGCCCTCAGCGTCCGTGTCAGCGATGAGGAACTGGACCGCCCGTAGTGGGCAGAGCTTACGCGAGTCAGCAGCACTGCGGGGGCGTGGGCCCAGTTCCCATAATTCTGCACTTCTGAGGTGCACCCTGTGGCTCTGCTGTGGGCTGCTGAACATCAGCCAATACGGTGGGCAGGTGGGACACACACTCTGGGGCATTTTTTTGGCTTTCCTGTTCTTCCACTGCTGTTCTTCCCATGCAGCCATGATCTTTTTCTCCAGAGTGAATGAATACTGCAGAACAGGACAACATGTGAACATTGTTATATATAAAGATACATATACATACAATTCCAAATGTATATGATGAATATAAGCAAACACATAATAATATACACTACTGGTCAAAAGTTTGGGATCAGTAAGACTTGTAATATTTATTTGATCAAAAATACAGAAAAAAAACAGTAATCTTGCAAAATGTTATTACAATATAAAATAATGGTTTCTATTTTAATATCCTTTAAAATATAATGTATTTCTGTGATGCAAAGCTGAGTTTCCATCAGCCACTACTCCAGTATAAAGTGTCATATGATCCTTCAGAAATCATTCTAATATGCTGATTTATTATTAGAATGATCAATGTTGGCAACAGTTGTGCTGCCAAATATTTTTTGTGAAACTGCGATACTTTTTTCAGGATTCTTTGATGAATAAAAAGTTAAAAAGAACAGCATTTATTAAAAATATGAATCTTTTCTAACAATATAAATCTTTGCTATCACTTCTTAACAATTTAACACATCCTTGCTGAATAAAAGTTTTAAGTTCTTTCAAAAAAAGAAAGAATAAAAATTTACTGACCCCAAACTTTTGAACTGTAGTGTGTATTGTTAGAAAAGATTTCTATTTTAAATAAATGCTCTTCTTTTTAACTTTTTATTCATCAAAGGATCCTGAAAAAAAAGTATCACAGGTTCCAAAACAATATTAAGCAGCACAACAGTTTCCAGCACTGATAATAAATCAGCAAATTAGAATGATTTCTGAAGATCATGTGACACTGAAGACCGGAGGAATGATGCTGAAAATTCAGCTTTGCATCACAAGAATAAATGAGATTTTAATGTATATTAAAATAGAAAAACGTTATTTTACATCATAATAATATTTCAAAATATTACTTTTTTTTCCCTGTATTTTTGATCAAATAAATGCAGCCTTGATGAGCATAAGAATCTCCTGTAAAAAACATTAAAAATCGTTCTGATCCCAAACTTTTGACCGGTAGTGTACATTAGACGAGTTTATTGTTATATTCTGACCTTTGTATCACACAGTATTTGAACACAGTCTGGGATCTTAAATTCAGGAGCTGTGACTGGCTCTTTCTGACCCAACTCCACAGAGTCCAGAGCAACTTTAAATGGAACCTCATCCAGACTACACATTCTGCTGACATGCACAAACAATTTTAGTTAATACAATTTCTGTAAATCAGTATCCGAGTAGCTCTGTAGTTAATATATACCTATGTAAGTGTATTTCTGTTGTTTATATCTCTGTAGATGGCAAATTCCATGAATATGGTACACTTTGGTGTCACATGACTGTTTTTTTAAAGCATAAAACAGCGTTTATAATTTGAATGAGCTTTCTTATGTTTGAAGTTTTTGTTTTAATCCGTTAATTTTTTATTCATTTTGTTTTGTGCCGGTCATTTTTATTATTAGTTTTAGTAATAATGTTAGTTTTCTGCTTAAAATCACATTCCTTTAAATTAAGTTTTCATCTGATATTTACAATTCATTTAATTTCAGCATTATTTCAATTAACAAAATGTTTTAATAGTTTTGTTTACAATAATAACCCTGGCATAAACATCCTAAATTTATTTTAATTGTTTTACACTACATATGTTTGATGAACTATTGTGGAAATAAAATTAACCTAGCATGAAAAGGTGTTCGCTTTGAACTTAGTAAATGCATCTCAAAGGCCTTGACTTTCTTGAATGTACAATTTAAATCACAATAATACTATTAATCACTTCATTGAATGAATGAAAAATAAAAAATATATAATCATGTATTATGCATGTAATATAATCACATTTCTAATAACACTTTAATATTTTGCATGCAATCAAGTATAACTGTAAATTGATTTTTCTCTATATTAGTATAGATTACAGGTCATTAAGGTTTCTTACCTGTAGTTTTTGGTAGTGTCTCTGCACTGATCTGAGCTATATGCGTATTGTTCCTCGGCTGCACAGTGACTTTGTGTACTAATCAGCTTCACATGTGCATAATAACAGAAGCATAATGTCCCCATGTGAATCAACACAGGCTTACACACACACACACACACACACACACACACACAAACAAGCACTATCAGGCTTACACACCGACTCTTATAATAATCCTTTCATATCCTGTCGGAACAAACACACACATCATCCTGTTCCTTTCCATTTCTCACATGACAGTAAGGTGCTGAAAATACTAAGAGGTTTTAAACTCCTAGAGATACCATGAACCGTGATGCTGACTGTGTAATAATAATAATACGCTATCAGATGCATGAACATTCTCAGTGTGTTATTGCTATTAGTTTGAAGGCGTAGTGTCTGTTTACTCGCTGTGAATCTGAAAAAGGCTGAGACATCAGGAAATGACACAGCAGGCGCTATCAGACATAACACACAGTGTTGGGCCATATTGCATAAGCAGTGATGATTTGTGCGGTTTATGGCGCACTCTAGAGGACCTAAAATAAAACAGCTTTTTGTCTGAATTGTCTTTTTCCTTGTGTATACATCTTGCAATTCTTCAAAGTCAGTGTTAAAAAAAAAGTAGTGCTTCTATTAAAACACACAAACAAGTCTTGTTTTAAAAACATATTCATAGTTTTATTATGAGCAGTTAACTCAGTAATGTAGAGCTAAATACCATGAGAAATGCAGTTGTAGGTAAAAGCAGTTTTGTAAAATCATCACTGGCAATAAACATTTTGTAAATAACAGTAAATACATGATTTCAGTGAAATGATGTGAAAGAAACTGATAAATTGATGGTGGTTGAGCCAAAACACACACAATCTCCAGATTACAGACATCTGCTGACACTTTCACTCTCTCTCAAGTTCTTTCTGTGACACAGAATCGTGCCCGTAATGCTAAAATGAATTTAAACTACACAAATTATTATATACAAATACAATTCAATACAACATATTGCTACGGTGTGACCCGCAAACATTCAGCGTGACGCACACTGCAATTTTTCCTCACACACACACACACACACACACACACACACAATATTCCCGTTTCTCTCAAATAGAATTGATGAAACCGTAACTGCTGCTTTGGAAATGGAAGATGGGAGCAAACCAGTGGTCCCGCCCTAGTTTGTGATTGACAGAGACGCTATGACCTCACACGAACCCTTTCTCAGCACTAACAATCATTAAATCCCTTTCTTTTGAATATGTAAATTAAATAAAAATAGAAACGGATGACAATATCTGCATCCCAATTTGCATACTATCCATACTATAAAGTATGCAAATCAATAGTATGTCAAAAAATATTATATCTAAAGACGGATGGTATGTACTTTCTGTGGATGCCTTTTGAGCCAATATTACCCACAATCCCCTTGCGCTACAGAAGAGGCGGAGCTTGTAACAGTTCTTTATCAACTTTTTTGTTGTAATAGTGAATCATAAATGTATCTACAAGTCAACGTTTACATACAATGTGTTAATTTTATTACATAATGTACTGCAATACTAGCATACTACATACTCAAAAGTATGAATTTTTCCCATCACCACTGAAGTACATACCTGTAGTATGCATGAGTAAGCAAACTGGGATGCAGCTTGTGTGTGTCTCACACTTCACTCTGAAGTCCATATCTATATTGCCATAGCATGAAACACACACTCACGCCTCAAAATAACACTACATACAACAAGGACAAAATGCTGAAGAATGTGCCATCCCTGGTTCAAACTAATGCTTCACATACACAATCAAATATCCTCGCATACGCCTCTCTGAGAGTCTGATCCCAAAGCTTGCATTCTCATCAGTTATGTGCCAAACAGGAACAGGAAGATAAAGAATAATCGCATGCTGAGAATATCAAGTGCGTTAAATATGTCTAAAATACTGTAACAAATGTTAACACTTGCTTTTAATGATTGCACATACATCCGCGTAGTGATATCCGGGTAAGGTCAGGGTTATATTCATCCTGATATGTCTCAAAAGCAGTTCAGAGCCTTTACTGCAAGTGTAAACGCTACGATCAGAATCTGGAGTGACTCTAGTTTGATTAGACCGAGTTTGGTGCCAATCCCTCTGATTGGAAATGCTCCTGTGTACTTTGGAGAGCCTAAGTACTGCTGAAGAACCAAACTGCATTTGTTTTAGGTACATAAGGACACTTTCTATAAGAGGAAAATAATTTATATCTTCTCTTTGACTATGCAAAATGTAAAAATATGTTTTGTTCTTTGTGGTTCAGAGTGTTTAGTCTTTGGTAAACTTTACAGTGCTCTTGTTGTGGTAGAAAAATATCCAATCTGTACTCGAACTAATCTGTACGATATATCAGGATCTGATAAAAACATATTTGAGTGAAATGACTGATGAAAGATGACGTTTTTGCCTCTTTCCATAAATCTCTCTCTCTCTCTCTCTATATATATATATACACACACAGACACTTATAAAGTAAGGCATGTTAGACTTAAATTCATTTTTCAGTGACTTAACGTAACCACTGGAGAACCCTTAATTTGACATCCCTCACACAAACTCTAATATGTGATGATTATATAATAGCTATCCAATTGTTTCATGAGCTTCTGGAATCATAAATCATGATGCAGCTGATGTCGGATCAGTGGTTTCCTGCTGATATACATGAGTCCCTACAGCAGAATAAAAAGCGTAACTAAACACACCGGGAGAAAACCTACAACACACGCACACATACACACAAGTCATGCAGTTTCACTTGTTTATAAAAGCAGCTCTATAAATGTGCCATTATCTGTGGAGTTAAATATGACTTCACTTAGTCACTTTTCTTCCTGTAAACGGTTCGTTCGGACTCTCTGCATGGTATTAAAAGTAAACCAAACCCAAACACATTCACGAACAAAGTCAAACGGTTTCCTCAACAAAAAAAAAACCACACGTCTGTACAGCGCATATGTCTAGACGTCCCAGCTTCATTGGCGTGTTCGGCTGCGATTAGATAAGCACGCCCTGTGGCTGCTGCAGGATCTTGATCACTCTGCTGAGAGATTCGGTGGTGGCAAAGGCCAGATACTGACAGCACAACCAGTCCTCCAGACTCACGCCGCAGCCAGTGTCCAAAGAACGCTCAGCGAACTTGATCATCATAAGCGTTCGCTTCAGGTCCAGCCAGTTCTGCAGGACGGTGTGGCGTTGGACTGTCCCGGAGGAGGGGTTCAGCAAATTGAACAGATCCTCTCGGGGGCCCCACAGCAAACACTGCAAACAAGCCCGGGCGTCCGCCATCTGGATGCGCTCGGTAGGGTTGGGATTGAGTAGCAACGTGGCAAGCTGTTGAAGGCCATTGGAGTACAGGGATCGCAGGGGTAGCTGGGGCAAGTCAGAGCTGCAGTATTCCCTCTCCTTTAGCTCTGGACTTTCCTCGAATGGGTTCGGTCGATGCAGCATCTCATAGATCAGTATGCCGGTCTGGAATTCGTCACACTTGCGGTATTGAGTGGCAGTGAGGAGCTCAGGTGCCAGACGGGACTGGTCTCGGAGCGAAGCGGGTTCCAGCACCACACTCTTGAGTTTGGCCTGAGAGAAGTTGCTGATGATGAGGCGGGCAGGGCAAGCAGAAGCTGCGGTGGAGGAAGGTCCGGATGCAGTGTTGTTGTTTGGTTCCAGCAGTTCCAGGTTCCAAGGGTTCCCGGGCTGACAGTGCACCAGGAGGAGGTTCTCGAGCCGCAGGTCACAGTGTGTGACGTGGTAGGGTTTCATATGCTCTAGTCCTACACACAGCTGCAGCAGCAGCAGACACACCTGGCGTTCGTACAGCTCAGGGTTTCGCGCGTGCCTCTCCACACCCTCCCGTACGAAATCCGCCACCGTCTGGAACGGCACCTCTCGAGTGATCACCACAACACGGCTGCAGAGTTTCCCGCCCGGACCTGCCGCATCTCTCTCACCCTCCTTTCCTTTTCCCTCTTCTCCTCCTTCTGTACCGCCTTGCTTGTCTTCTCCATCCTTCTCTCGCTCCCAGGGCAGCAGGCGGGCCGGAACGTCTGCCAGGAAGTGCCCACAGTCCTGCTGGATGTTGAAGTGAACAGCGATACTCTGCCGAACTGCTAGGCTGTGAAAAAACTGCTGCTGAGTCTCCTTCACCACACCTCGACAGATCTGAGATCAGACAGAAAGAGAATGTTATTCTCTGCAAATACATGCAAGTCTGAGCTGACTACCTAGGCAACATTTTGAAGTATCAAAGGAACGCTGCCAACACAAAGGCTGGGAAAATACGAGTAATGCTTGCCCCTTCTTAGTCAGAGGGTTACTTTAAGGTTGATAAGGGGTTTAATCCTTATTGATATGAGCAACGATAATAGGAATTATCGATAAAAGCCTCGAAGGCCGCATAATTAGTAGAGCTTGGTAAGATAGATAACTCAGTATGAGCAAGAAAGCACCGAATGTAGCCTTTGTGGATAATTTCATAATGCACTGTGACAATCTCTGTCTGTACTAAGTAACAAGCCATTAGCTTAGCAACATGCTGCCATCAGACTCTATTGGAATCAACTGTTAGTCGAATCACACTTGCTGTTCTTGCAAGAAGCAATGATTGTGAGTTGCATAAGTGACCATTACTTGACTTATGTAGACAGCTAATCAGCTTGTCCATATGAGCAACGATAATAGGAATTATCGATAAAAGCCTCGAAGGCCGCATAATTAGTAGAGCTTGGTAAGATAGATAACTCAGTATGAGCAAGAAAGCACCGAATGTAGCCTTTGTGGATAATTTCATAATGCACTGTGACAATCTCTGTCTGTACTAAGTAACAAGCCATTAGCTTAGCAACATGCTGCCATCAGACTCTATTGGAATCAACTGTTAGTCGAATCACACTTGCTGTTCTTGCAAGAAGCAATGATTGTGAGTTGCATAAGTGACCATTACTTGACTTATGTAGACAGCTAATCAGCTTGTCCATATACATGCATCAATAAATATGTGTAAGACTGAACTTTCACCTTAACGGCGTAGTTTGTCAGAGGTTCTTTAGCGAAAGACGCTGTGTAGTACACAGCATCTCCTGCCTCGCAGCAGGGTTTTCCTGCAGTCAGCCGGAAATGAGACCAGCTGTCTGTTCCAAAGCGTAGATGATCTTTTTGTCCGGCCATAAATCGATCTTCACATCTGGCTGCCAACTTGCGAAGGGTATCCGTGTGCAGGCCTCGGATCCTCCCGACCACTTCCTCCCAGCTCTCCATGCCTCTGTACGGCACTTGTTTCTGGGCTTTAGCGGGTCTCCCAACCCCTCGCGTCCGGGCTGTCAGACTCTCTGTACTTCGGAAGCCTCGGAGGTCGCATGCCTGCATGGAGCTGCTATTGGTTAGGCAAGACAGGCTCTGCCCACCCACGGGACGCTCCAGGGAGTCTCCAGATTCGTCAGGATGTCGTGCCTCCGAGCTGAGTGAGGAGCTCTGACTGGTCGTGTCCCATGTGGATTCGAGATCGTAGAGTGGATTGGCGACACTCAGACTGGTCCCGCCTGGTCTGGCCTCTCCTTTGGGTCGAGGGGCAGAGAGTTCTCTACCTAGAGCGGATGGCTCTGTTTGGGCACGTGGGACTGACTTTTTAGGCAGGGGTGGAGGGGTGGATTTAGTCGTGGATTCGATGACCTCTGGATCAGAGGTTAAAGTGTCATCAGATGCTTTAGGATGTCTGGGATGTTTTACAGGGATCATGTTGGCCCTGGACCGACCTGCAGAGTGAGAGACGAGGAATTTCAGAGAGGATTAGGGCTCTGAAACAGCTCAGGGAACACATGAAATTTTGACCAGAACATAACTGGTGCCTTATTGGATTTCCATTACATGTTCCCCTTTACTTTATCTCTAACTGCAGGATGAACAGTATTAAAGCAATTCACACATGGTCCATCCACAGGGACGTAGGATACGAGTTAGGAATTATTTAACAGTGTGAAACCTCATCTAACATTCCTCACTAATCTGCTTTAATCTCCCAATAATCTCAGACTGGGGCTTCTTCTGAGGCCCATTAACAAGGACAGGGATTTTTGTAGGTCACGTCTATAAAACGATCAAAGAGTCAGCGGGACAAAATTAGAGGCAGTACTTTAACCCCTTGGAGACCCATGCTGCTACGCAGTTCAGAGGTTCATCAGCCTTAGTCATCACCGTTGCAATGCTATATGGTTAGATATCAGAGGTCAACTCTGCAACATAATAAGAAGGGAAGGATGTAGCCATCAGCAACCATACTCTCTTGGAACAGCTGAAAATTCATTATTTTTTCTCATATCCTGTGTGATGACACACAGCTCAATATAGACGGACTAAGTCTGATAATCTGTCAGTCTCTCAGAACTGTGGCCATTAAAATCCCCAACAAACTGAATCCCTGATTTCCACACAGCGACTACTGCCAGCTTGGGAGAATTTTAATGCAATTTGACATCTATTTCATTAAACCTCACATGTGGAAAAACATTACATAGTTTAGGAAACAACCACTGTTTGAAATCTTATTTGAGGTTATTCGCAGGGTATTTGCCAATATTATTAGTTTTGAAACAATAGCAGATTATTTTTGGATTTATCTTTTCCAATTTTAACAGTATATTATATCTTTATGCCAGGTTGCAAACATTATTTTATGTACATTGTAACATTTTAAAGTGTCTGAAGCATTTTAAATTCTAGATATTTTAGGAGCTTTCTTGTGAACACTTAAAAATACACACACAATATATACAGATATATATCATATCAGTTATCAGCCATAATATAAATATAATTTATGCTGACCTGAGAATTTGTCATGCCATCCAAAAGTGAGATCACATTATAAATTTGAGATTTAAACTAATTCAAAATCATAAATAAACAAATGTTTTAGAATTTTGAACCATTTTAAAACAAAGAAATATTTAAGGAATTAATGTAAATAAATTAATTTATAATAATTACAAATAATTAACTAATTTATATTAAATAAAAAAATAATAATTAGTGGTCACTAGTCATCTAAGATTTTTGGACCCCACTGTATAATAAATATAATGTGTGGTGCTGCAATTTACATTTCCTGCTAGCAAAACTACTTAAACTACACTGTGCTACAATTCATGCAATTAAAACCAAAAACTTAAAAAAACAAACAAAAAAGAGACATATCCATACCTCCTTTCACTGCATAAACTTCAGACAGACTCAATCAGCTAAATGGCTTCAAATTGAGAGATTGAGAGAAGTGATCTTATTTATGGGTCTAGAAATGCTCTTGCACATGCTGCTGCCATGACAACCTAAATATATCAGCATGAGCCAGCCAAATCAGGTCAGAACCTCACACCACTGGCCCAAAAAAATGGACCAAACAAAAGCACAAAGTGACCCATCAAATGTGTGTGTTTTACTTACCCAGGTTGGTGTACGTGGCCCTGCAGCTGCTGGATGTAGGAGAGTGTGAGATGGTGTAAGTGATTCCCTCTTCCTCTCGCTCTGCCTGCCTGCTGCTGTTTGAGGTGGGCGATGCTGGGGGCGGACAGGAGGCAGTCAGCTCGCGCAGGGGCGACAGCTCCAGCTTAGCAGGAAGAGAGGTGGCTGAGGAGATCTCAGTACCCTGAACTGGAAGCTGACTGCATCAAAGAGAGACAAACAAGGGTTGAGAATTATTCCAGCCCAAAGTTTTTTAACCTAAACGGCAAGGATTTAGAAACTGAGGATGCAGATTATTTTACAAAGCTAAATTTAGAGCTTAATTCTCTCTCTTTCTCTTTTTTAAAGGGACAAAAAAGAAAATTCTGTCATTTTCTCACCCTCATTTTGTTCCAAACCCGTACGACTGACTTTTTTTTTCATGTGGAACACAACAGAAGATATTTTCAAACAGTGCTGGTCACTCTTTTACATGCAAATGCAATGAATGAAAACTTGGGGCTTTCAAGCTTAAAAAATGGATGCAAAAGCGCAATAAAAGTATCAAAAGAAATCCATATGACTCATGTGGTATATTACAATATTACAAGAAGCCATATAATAACTTTATGTGATAAACAGACCAAAACGATAGCCTAGTTGTTATTCTGAATTGGAGATCTTTTTAACAAAATAGTTGATCTAGTTCACAAAAACTCTATGACTCCAAAATTAGTTTGCAGCAGTTCTTGAGTTAAGATTATCAGTAAATATCAGTCAAAAAAATCTTGAGAGTTAGCTCTAAATTTAGCTTTGTAAAATAACCCATACCCTCAATTTTTAAATTCTTGCTTTTTAGGTTAGAAATCAGTGAATAATCCTTTTCTCACCCAGAGCTATATTACTGACCACTTCTATAATACTTTCATGGTGCCTTTTTTGAAGCCTGAAAGCTTACATCACACTTCAAAATGTCCACTTTTGTGAGAAGGCATGATGTCATATGAGTTTGGAAGGACATCAGGGTGAGTAAATAATGAGATGAATAATGATTAATAATGAATAATTGTGTGATAGTGCTTTAGTTCAAGTTTAAATTTTAATTAGCATGTTGGGGTCCAACCATACTTGACTAATCAAATGGAAAATACTGTCTTTTGATTAGATTCCAAACCATCCCTATATCCCAGCGCCAACCTTAAGCCGTACAGAACAGCACTTGCTTTCTCTCTCTGACCTGAACTTCCATTCGATGTGACCTGGCAATCTTTGCTGCCCTCTGCTGGTTGCTCACTGCTGGGGTTACGAATACGATCCAGACTGCTATGTGCCAAAACAGCAGGGCCAGGGCTCATGCTACCTGCAGGAAGGACGGAGACAACTGTCGTAGTCCTGGATTTGCCATCATTTATAGTCTGTGCGGATACTTTGGTGGTTCTCAAATCCCCAGGAGCAGTTACATCTGTTGTGTGCTTCATCTGAGATGGTGTCTGCTCAGACGGCGAGGGCTGGGAACTTTCAGAAGATCCAATCTCCTCATATGTGTGGCTGGCCACTCGCTCTCTGGCCCCAGGCTTGGAATGTGGCACCTCACCATTGAGCCCCAGGAAACTCTTGTAAACAGCTAGGTTATCGTATGCACAGGGATTAATCACTATGGGAACTTTCACTGCTTTTTTGGAGCTGCGTGCATATGCAGGCTCATCGCGGATGATGATGGGAAACGGGGGCATGCCGGCATTGTTGTAGCTGTTAAATTTGATCTCAGACAAGTTAGGAGATTTAGTTGGGACTGTGCGGGCTGAGCCAAAGCCTGCAGTTGGAGATGTGGGAGCTGATTTGTGATTGATTAGTCTTGGAGCGGCACAGCCACTTGTTAAATCAACTTTTGGGATCTTCTGTCGAGGGCTGGTGCAAGACGTCCACACTTCTTGGTAACGGATGCTGCCGGGTTTTGTGCGGAAACCGCTGGGTCCTCCAGAGGCAGAACTTGTAGGAGACTGAGGCATCAGCGGAGACAATGAAACGGATGGAGATGCCACAAGTGAAACAGGAGATCTGGGGGACTGAGGCGAGGTGGGTGAGACAGGACAGGGATCAGCGGAAGGGCAAAGCACAACATTGGGCCCACTTGACTTTGGAGTGCTTTCACTTGAGTGAGTGTGTTCATTTTTAGTGGCCATAGAGGCAGACACATCCACCACCGTATATGGCTTACAGATAGGAGTCTTCTCGAGATTCACTACTCGATAAGGCTTGGCCTGCTCCTCAGTTGGGCTGAAGCTGATTGTGATTGGCTGGCCTGGAAAAGCTTGTGGGAGAGCCCCACCCTCTCTCTTACTGTCGTCTTGCTCTTCCAGTCGGATGGCTAGAACAGCTTTATGCATTTCATTGGGTTTTGGCGAACTCAGTCCTTTGGCTGAAGGTTCTTTGCTAGGTGGGAAAGGAAGACTATTTCTCTGGTCACCAGTGCCCCTACTGCTGCCAGCGCAGGATTCTTCGGGCAGAGAAATCAAGGACTCGGGCGAGGTGGTGGACTCAGAAGTGGACAGAGAGCCACTACCCTGGTGGTCAGAGGTGTATGACAGAAGAGCAGGAGCTCCATTTGAGTCAACGGATGGGTATCCGTTCAGAATCTCATCGTAACTGTCATCGTAATCCACTGCACAGAACCGTTGCAGTGAACGGTTGCGTAGAGGCACGGTATTCCACTTCTTCCCTACAGCAAAGGGAACTGGGGACAGTGTGGCTGCACGGAAATTGGCGAACCGAGGTTGACCCCGCATCCGTATCCCCATTGCTAGCAACTCCTCATCGCTTTCATCCCAACTGTCATGCTCTCCATCGTCGTCATCCTCATCACCACTCTCATCCTCCTCATCGTCACCATCACTGGAGAATTCTGGATAACAGAAACGTCCTCCCTCAGAGCTGATGACCTCTGCACTGTCACTGAGGGAAACACGTTTCATTGCTCCTCTACCACTACTCCCAGCATGGAGGCAGCTTGATGCTGGAAGGCCCCTCTCTAACGAGCGCTGGTATGAACTGCAGATCCGGCCAAAGAAGTCATCTCTACTTGAGCTTGGAGAAGGTCCCAGGCCAGCAATCTCTTTTAGCACATCCGTCAGTCCGTTGTTATTGCTGCTAGTTGGCTGCAGGGAAATTGCACCATATGCCTCTGTTTGCCTGACCAAATCCTCCCCTTGATTGTTGTTTGTCCCTGTGGGTCTCGAGCTATTCCGGCTGTTGTGGTTCCACACAGTGAAAGGTGAGCTTTTAGTGACCTGTGCTCCTTCTGTAAGCCTTGGCACATTTCCCTCTGAGTCCAACCCTGCTGGGGAGCATGGCAGCATCATAGTAGGCTTTACTGCAATAGTAGGCTTCTTTGCAACAGGTGGGCGGACCTGCCCTGCACGAGATGAGGAAATGCTCCTCTGGCTGTTTGTGAGTTTGGCACTGATGTTTGTCTTGCTCTCACTGGCAGCATTGGCTTGCTCTGGAGGCCGGTGTAGGCTCTTGGGCTTAAAGCAGTTTTTGCACTCCCCTGGTTTCCACACATGTTCAGTGAAGGTGTTGCATGCAGACATGACTGCAGGGCAGTGCTGCAGCATCAGTGGACAGGAAAGCCCTCCATCACACACAAACTAAAGGCTGAACGTCGCTCCCACACACAGTTTGCAAACTGTGCCCTCAGTACCTGTAAAAAAGAATAACAGAGTTAGCCAGTGTTATTTTGAAACCAAATGTAATCACGGTTTTCATCTCACATAACTGTGATGACCTGTCAGGCCGGAGTGATGAGACAAAAACATTAAAACCCATTATAAACGAGGCAATTGTTGCATCCAGCGGGGACATAATTACGGATTATAATGACTTAAGCCGCGGTCACACTAGACTTTTCGTTCCATTGACTTCCATTCATACACATGCGAATGTGTCAGACTGGAAACGCAAGCCTGTGCGAAGATATTTCGCATTTCGCTGCGTAGCAAAGTTCAAGTTTGGTGAACTCTGACATGCAAATTCACATCACGTGAATGCGTGAGACCAATAGAAGATCAAAACGTCACAAAGTGACCTCTAAACATGGAGGAATCGCTAATTTAAGCAGTTTTGCATCATCCTGTTTTATACAACACAACTTTAAAAGTAGGGATGCACCGATACCACTTTTTCCAGTACTCG